TGTAAACTGAATTTGATGAAGGAAAAAAAATATATTAGTGTTACTGTACTTTATGACCACCACAGGAAAGTAGTGAGTGAACATTTAATTTTTAATATTAAAATAAGATAAACTGCATGTTAGGCACAACGGTTCACTAAGGATTCACTGTGCCACCTGGCAGCTTTACAAAGTAGTGCAATCCTGCGTCAAATTATTTGGATGGTATCTTTCAACATACTGCGGCATGTTCTAGCGGTATTAGGTTTTTGTCTATGATCAGACCCAAATAATTTTAGTAATCAAAATCCCTTGGAAAGGGGAACTACAAATCACGATTTGTGCATACACCAATATTATAAACTCCGACCACAAACTGATTTTACTACTTTGAACAATTAAATAAACTGATTATTAAGCTAGAAAACTTTTATTAACCAACTTCGAAGAGAACACATAATAAACAACTTACAAACAAGAACAAGACGCACACATTTTACTAAGAGAACGTATTTTAACATTGAAAGTAATAACATTAAATGTGAATCAGTTAACGTCTAGTAAAACACCTCAAGTAGTCTGTGTTTCCAGCTAGAAAATGTGGCTTATCTACTGTTCGCCAGTTACATGGATCAAACAGATTTAAAACTAAATGAAATACATATACATTATTACAGTTACTTGATTTGTTTTGAGATCACTTGTCCTGCACTTCTTTTTTGCCCTTCATTTTCTCAGTGCCCAATGGGCACAACCTTTTGGAGGATGATGTGCTTTTACCAGTTGCAACTACATGATTTTAATTTAAACCATTACACCATAGTTTGCAATACGAGTAAAAGGTCACTAGTAATGTTTCATTACATGTTAGATGTAATGAAATATTAATAAAATTGATCATCACAACATTTACTACTTTCCAAAATTAAACAAACTGCGTCCAGTGCAGAAGCAGCTGAAACCACACAGAAGTTGTCATCATACGGTGAAGGTGAGTCATTTACTACATCAACAGTCAAACAAACCACTACACTTACATTCACAACTCATTATATTACAATTTAACTAACAAACAGCCTAGACTAGCACAGCAGCAATAGAAAGAGCCACTGAAGGGAATTTTTCACTAACATTTAATGTACATATTAAAACAATATGTCATCTTGCATATTGAGGGGGTCCACTGGTGCTCTCAGAGCCCTAGGTAGTCACCTAGTTGGCCTGTGCCCAGGTCTGGTCCTGTTTGCAGGTACAGTAAACCAGCAGTTTGACAGGCTTCACATAACAGAGTGTGGATTACACAGACAATCTGTTAAAGGGGAATTTTGTCTGTATAGTCAGAATTGCCTTTCCTTTCCCTGCAATAATGAGGAAATGCACAGATATTAAAATACTCACACCCGAAGAAGGCTCCACGGCCGAAACCTTGTGTTTTCTTTCTTCTTTTTTTCAGCGTGGAATAAACCTATTACTTGATATTAAAATAAGGTAAAAATAGGCTTAAAAATAAAATTCAGGAATATTACTGGTGCACTTTTGGGATGGGTCATTTGCTTGATAGGATTCATATGCTTCAGTGAGGCTTATGCAGCACAGTATATTTATGACACGTTAAATACTGTAGCGCTCTCGAGTTCATGTGGGTATGTGCCCTTGCCGCTGCCACCTCAGGTTGGCCCCCCACCACTGGGGACTCAAACCCGGGCCCCCGGCATCACTCAACAGTGACTCAGCCAGTTGAGCTAAAAGGAAATCTCCCGTCAGCCTGACGGCTGCAGTACCTGCTAGTCACAGGTGTAGGAATCCTCTCACAATAAATGTAGGGGTTTTGTGCAATTACTGGGACAATTATTAATTGTAGCAGTAAGTCACAAAATGATTCTTTGATGGCTATTAGAAGACCGACCTTGTGGGATAACAGCAACACACACACAGGGATACTAATAAAAGACAATACATTTATTAGTACATAAAATGTGCATAAACATAACAAATCTTATAGTGAGGATTAGCAAAATACAAAAGGTATATATTCAATCACGAAGAGTTACAAATACCAAGAGGGACATACGTTCTGTATATCATTCATTTAGACCGTTTCGTAAATGAACTTGGATACAACTTCTACACTAGATACTCAAAACAAGTACATCACACGTAGGAATTAAATTGATATCAACTGGTGTTGAGGTAACAATTGAATTCTCGAGCTCTAATGCAGAAGGTTGAATACTCATCCAATCTGTGGGGATTCAGATCTCCTGTGGACACAAAGAAGCAGTGGCAGGCTGTTGCTGTGTCTAATCGGTGCTTTCTGGCCCGGTGCCAGGCAGTGCTTGTTCGGCATGAGAGAAGTGAGAGAGTTTCCTGCTGCGATGCTCTGGTAGTAAGCTCTCTGAAGACCGGCTAGTTAATGTTGGCTGAAACTAGCGAGAGATTGTGCACATGAGAAAAGTGACTACAGGTCCAAGCAGGTCACACTCTTTAGACAGGAAGAAGACCGGTTTGTTCCTGATGTAGCGCTGGTCTGTCCACAGTTCCGACCGTAGTTCACTTGTTGATCAGGTGAGCGTTCATGGTGGGTTCACGTGGCTTGCTGCTGGACTAACCTCAGGTGGATCCTTTGGTTACACGCTGGTGACCTTTGTTCCCGACTCTTAGAACAAAGGAAAGTCCTGGTACTGGCCATTACGTGGTTGTCCAAGCTGAGTCTGAGAATGTCCAGGAGGGGCACGGAGGAGCCCTGTGCTGCCTCTTTTACCTGGACGTTCATTAGCTGAAAGTTCTGTGGGCATTCAAGACTCATGTGGGGTTAACCTACCCTACCAGTTCCTGATTGGCTGAGGATGAGTAACAATGCACTCTGACCTTAGAGTTGTAAACAACTTGGGATGAGACTCTCCCTTGGAATCTCCCAGACAGTAAGGCACCAGAGATGACCATTTATTAGGGTTGCTGGAGAATCTCAGCTTTGGGAGTTGTCCCTTATCAGGACACTCTATCAGCTAGAAAAACACTTTAAATGTGAACCAAATGGAATGCCCCCTCTGTATCAAACACCACTGAGATGAGAGACAGAGGGACTGGCAAGGGAGCAGCAAACCTAATTCATGTGTTTTTAATAAGCCGGCAAGGCTACACAGGGAAGGGCGGTGATGTCACTGCGCTGGTAAGCCGGCTCGAACAACCTGCAATGTCAGCCGTATGCGTTACAATACAGAGCTTGTACTGTATATTAATGACAAGAATGAGAAAAATTAAGAAAATAAGGCATAAGAAGATTTTTAATGTGTTAATTGCAAATCTTAAAAAATAAGTCAATAGATACAGAAAACAAATACATATAGTACAATCTACAGTATATATGTCAGACTGCTAACCTGCCCAGACCAGCCCATAAGAGACCTAAGCAGTGCCAGCAGCGGGGAAATAATTACAAGCGCCACTGCACGTGTTAACCGTGTGGCAGGCAACAGTATTTAAGCCATTCAAACCTGCTTCTTGCTGCTCGGTATTGAGTCTACTCTTAGAGAGCTCTACCTGGTGTTTATGCTGAACCTTGCATTCTTCTGGATACTGGACTCCCCTTTTGCCTCTTGATCTTGGACCTCACGTTTCGATTCTGATTGTTTGCCTCTATTATTACTTCTTTGATTTCGAACCACCTTTCTCCTTTTTGACCACGATCTCGCTTGACGTTCCGGATTGTTCGCCTGCCTCGACACCTACCTACTCCTGCGTCTGCACAGGATCCACTTATCTCTTCATTAGGGATTCCTTAAATATATAGTTCAGGTCGGTAGCATGCGTAGGCTGCAAAGGAATGAGTAATAGGTTTATTCCATGCTGAAAAGAGAAAAAAGAAAACAATGTTTTGGCCGTGGAGACTTCTTCAGGTGTGAGGGTCTGGACTTCACACACACCTGAAGAAGTCTCCACGGCCAAAACATTGTTTTCTTTTTTCTCTTTTCAGCATGGAATAAACCTATTACTCATTCCTTTGCAGCCTCCACGGCCAAAACATTGTGCAATCTATATATACAGTAATTGTATGTTTTGGGTTGGGGAAAAAATGTCACTGATTTAACAGACATTCAACAATGTACCCCTTCCCCCTATTACTGTGTTCACTCGGATAACCCTTGTTTCTTAATTTTCATTGCAGTTGATTTATATTTCTCCTATGTGTTACTGTGCTGTTACTTTATTTTTATCAGTCAAGTTCATGTGATTCTGAAGGTGAGCTAATTTAGAATCATTGCTACAAGGGTGTGAACTCTTATCTAACCATTCTATTTCAGTTTCTAGATCTACTATTTGCTAAAAAAGTTGTAGAATATTTTTCACTTGGATGTTGAGGGGTAGGATGTTAGATTCATACTTTAAGGCAACAAAAGGTGACAATTTTGAAAGAGTTCTATAGGCACAGTACACAGTAAATACTCATTTTGGTTTGCTGTGCACATTTTACTGTTGTATTAATACATTATTGTGTACTTTTAAACCATGTGTCAATAGTGCTTATAATTTCTATTTTCTAATTGTTCCAGTAAATTCAACAATCATGTCACTACAGTGGATAAATATTTTAAATATATGCAAGAATTATGACACATTTGCCTTTTGTCACAATGGTCTGTCAACATCTTGAACTAATTTCAACTGAAACTTTCTGCGATCCAGGATAGAGCAGAACCAGACTCCATTCTAGGGAATGAAAATATTCCCCACAAGTAAGCTCTCCTCCTGCGAGGGTGAGTCTGTGAGAGAGCAGAACATGACTATCAGAGGGCCACTAAAAATGAAGGATTGCTACCTGGAGCTCCAACTCTGACTCTGATAGACTGTATTTTATGGACCGTGTCCGTCTGTTCTGATTGGGTATCGCACTTGCAAACGTAAACGTCAATAGCTGATGTCCCTGTATGAAATATGTCATCATGTCACACTGACAGGATTTCTCCTGCAGCCTCAGACTGTGTTCTGTCTTTTCTGTCTATCATGTGTTCTGTCTGTTTTAGGGTGGCTGGAGACACTGAAAGACAAACACAAGGAAGCTCTAGAGAGGAAGTTTGAAGTTGTGTCTGAGGGAATTGCTAAGCCAGGAGAGCAGACCCTCCTCAATGATGTCTTTACACACGTGTGGATAACTGAGGGCAGCTGTGTTGAGGTGAATCATGGACATGAGGTCATGCAGGTAGAAACCGTCTCCAAAAGCAAAAAATCAGAGATCCACTCCATCAAGTGCAGCGATATTTTCAAGCCACTGCCAGGACAGACCAGACCCATCAGGACTGTACTGATGAAGGGAGTCGCTGGCATCGGGAAAACATTCTCTGTGCAGAAATTCATTCTCGACTGGGCTACTGGAAAAGACAACCAGGACTTTGACTTTATATTTCTTCTTCCATTCCGTGAATTAAACTTGATCAAATCAGAAATGAGTTTAGAGGAACTGGTTCAGTGTTTCTGTCCAGATATAAAATCCTCTCAAGTTTTAGATTGCCACAAAGTTCTGTTCATCTTTGATGGTCTGGATGAAAGCAGGCATCCTTTGAAATTTAAAGAAAATGAGATCTGGTCTGATGTGAAAAAACCGACATCAGTGGACGTGTTGTTAACAAACCTCATCAAGAGGAACTTTCCTGTTAATTCTTCCATCTGGATCACTTCCAGACCAGCTGCAGCAGGTCTGATCCCTCCAGAGCTCATCAGCAGGGTGACAGAGGTCCAGGGGTTTGAAGACCAGCAGAAGGAAGAGTACATCAGAAAGAAGTGTAAGAACAGAGCTCTGGCAGACAGAATTATTTCACATATAAAGACACTGAGGAGTCTTTACATTTTGTGCTATGTTCCTGTTTTCTGCTGGATTGTAGTTACTGTTCTGGAGCACACATTGGAAGAGAGCAGAGGGGCCAATCCAACAACACTGACAGATTTCTATACATACTTTCTGCTTGTCTTACTCACAGCAAAGGAAAATAAAGAAAATGTCCTCAAATCAAATCAAGAAGCAATTCTGAAGCTGGGAAAGCTGGCATTTGATAGTCTAGAGAAAAACATCATTGTGTTCTATGAAAAAGATTTGAGAGAATATGCCATTGATCTCCACAACTCCTCCCTTTACTCAGGGGTGTGGAAGGAAATATTTAAACAAGATTCAGCCTTATTTCAGGAAAAGGTGTACTGCTTTTTACACCTGACTGTCCAGGAGTATTTTGCAGCTCTGTATGTTTTTGGTTCCCATCAGAACAATAATATTAATCCACTAAAGAAAACAAGTGGATTTTCCTGGTTTGGAAGAATAACTTTATTCAGCCTGAATGAAGGTGCTCTGGAAAGAGCCATCCAGAGCAGGACTGGTCACCTTGATCTGTTTGTCCGATTCCTTTTGGGGATGGAAATGAAGAACAACCAGGAGCTTCTGAAGGGATTCCTGTCACACACAAAAGATCACTCCAGTGACATCCAGGAAACAGCAGAACACATCAAGAAACTCATTAGAGAAATGTCCTCTCCTGAAAGATGCATGAACCTTTTCCACTGCCTGAGTGAACTGAAGGACAAGTCATTAATGGAGTTCAATGTGACTCTGGATAAAGTAAAACATTCAAGCCAAAGACTCTCACCTTCCCAGTGTTCAGCACTCGCCTATTTCTCCCTGCTGTCTGAGAAAGTGATTGATGTTTTTGACATGAGTAATTATGCTACATCAGAGGAGTGTGTACGGAGATTGCTACCTGTGGCAAAGATAACAAAAACCCTTAGGTAAGTACATCAGATTTACTTCACATACAGAATAAGATTTTGAGTCAAAATTGCCCATGTGAGTGGTCTTCTGGCTAGGTGCTCTGTGGAGTAGATGTATTCACATCATACTTTAGCACACTTTTTGTTTTTCATTGTTAAAACCCACAATTATCTGTACTATTTTAAATTATTTATTCTACACTACATAACATTGTCTAAACATAAACCTATATGCAGTTTGGAAGAGAAAAGCTTGCACCTCAAAACTCAAACACTCCAGCTAAAGGTATCATTCCAACTTCTTTGGCTGATACCGCTGTAGTATGAATAGTGGCTGTATTTCCAGAACTGGAAAGCCTCAGAAAAGGATTGTCTTATCTGCTGACTTTTGAGGTTTATCATGGATCTGAGTCACAAACTTGACTGCACTAAATTGGCTGTAAACGTGCAGGGCCAGCAAAACCTCAAACTGGAGCCAATGACATTGTGGACAGTGTCTCAGATCTGAAGGTGGCTCAGACTCAACTGCTGTCAAGACCAAGCTGACAGAGCGAGAGAACTGTAATAGGAGACAAGATCTACAGATTGTGAGCTTGTCTGAGTTAATCGAGGAATCTCATGTTACTGTTTCTTCTCTGCATTTTTCTTTTGTTTTTGGAGCTGCTGGGGAAAGATGTAATTAAGCTTCCGGCTCTTCTGCGAACAGCCCAGGGCTTTGCCTTGTCATCATGTCTTTCCTCAGTATGAAGTGAAGGAATTGGTGCTGCAGTCAGTGAGGATTTATGCAAGTTTCAAAACCTCTGTGTGTTCTTTTTTCTCTAATAGTGAAAAATAAATGAATGTAACAAATGAGTTAGAAAAGAGCAAACATGAATACTGTCAATGATGGGAGTAAAAAACAGTTCTACCAGTTATTTGGAGATAGTAAGGGATTCAAAGATTCCCATTAACAGAAATTACAATTAAGGTTAAGTGCATATTTGCTTTTAAATATTAATCATACCACTGTATAATATATTTCAAAATTAAAATCTAAAAGAAAAAAGTGGTGTTAATAAAACAATAAACATTTAAAACTAGTGGTGTTATGCAATAATCTCCCACCTTCCCCTTCTTCCCCACTTTGATGATGAGGACACTTAGACCCCTTCAGAGTGAGAAGTGTGGAAAAGTGAGGAGGGAAACAACAGGTGAAACATAAAAAGGTGGGATTTGAAATCGTGAGAATTTCAGTGATACAGGTCAAGCTGTAGTACGAGTTATACTTTCCTTGACCATCATGCTATTAAGCACTCTTATACATTTACAGATTTACAGTTCAAACCTGAAGAGCAGTGCTTTTCACTGTAGCAACACAAACATGTTTTAACTTAAACTTAATTTAATCAACAAATGTGATTTTTTTTAACAGAAGATATTTACCTATTTCACATTGACGTATGATTACCATTCTAAACACACACCAGTAATGAAGTAAATAACAGTGAGATAAATAAGAGTGGTGCCTGATGGAGTAATAATGTGCTGTGTAAAACATCAAAAGTTAAATTGCAGAGTTTATTTGCGACTCCAGGTTTATATCTCCAGGTAAGTGCTGTTACAGTACCTAGTAGTCCTAAACCGTCTACCAGAGGGGAGAGAAGTAGACAGAGGTTGGGCTGGATGGGAAAAGTCAATGAGGATCTTTAGAGCTTTGCGTTTCAGTCCATAGAGTCCACAGAGGGAAGGGGGTGTCCTACAAATTTGGATACACATTACTGTCTCTAGTGGTTTTCTTGTCCTGGGCAGAAGTATTGCCAAACCAGTTATGGAGAAGGACAAAACACTCTCAATGACATCTATTGAAAAGAGTCATTGCTTCCTGCAACACTTCAAATTACTTTAACTGTCTCAGGAAGAACAACCTCTGGTGAGCTGGCTTGGCAAGCAAGCAAACTGGCTTGGGTCCAGGTGCATTCTAGACAGGAAATTGGCTATAAGTCGCTCAAAAACTTTCAAAATAACAGAAATCAAGACTATTGATCTGTAGTCATTGAGGCAGTTCACAGTGGGTTTCTTAGGTACTAGTACTATAGGAGCTATCTTAAAGCAGTGTGGTATTGTAGCCTGCTTAAGGGATAAATTGAAAATAGCTGTAAAGATAGGAGAAAGATGAGTGGCACAAGATTTCAGATGCAGCTGGAGATTTTGGTTGTAGTTGTTGTGTATGTGGAACCATGCTCCTGAATGATAAAGGGTGGCTGGAGGGGCTGCACTGGCTGTGTAGGGCAGTCTGCTGCAGGTTATTTTGTACATCGAACCTGCAATAGAATTTATCCAACTTGTTGGAGAGAAAGATATCATCAGGTGAAGCAGTTTGTTTCACCTTGTAGTCTGAGATTAGTTGAAGACCTGGCCAGATGCCTCAGTTTTCTTTGATTAGTTTCTTTTCACGTTTTTTCTTATATTCAAGTTTGGCCCGCTTTCTACATTTTGGAATTTGTATTTGCCAGATTAGAAACCGGAATCATCTCCCTCTTTGAAAGCTCTGTTCTTTTTTTCCCACAGGGGTTTAATTTTCCTGTTGAACCAGGGCTGATTGTTATTGGACACAGTGAATGATTTGCAAGGAATGTATACACTCTCCCAAAAGAGAATATATGATGTTACTGTGTCAGTAAGATCATTAAGATCCAACCAGGCCTCCTTAAACATGCTCCCGTCTGTGTCAAAACAATCCTTTAGCACTTTCTCAGTCTCATCTGACCACTGTTTTACACTTCCTATTGTTGGTTTACATGCATTGGATCTGTTTATATCTTGGGATACGAAATACTACAGTATGACATGACTAACTGAAAGAGGTGCGGACTTACACTCAGTATGACCATAGAATAGTGCCCAGCACCATAGCAGTGTTCCAGTGTTCTGTCCTTCCTAGTTGCAACTTCTATCTGCTTTTTTTATCTGGGGAAAACATTTCTTGGATTTGAGTGCTTACGATTTCCCAAAACAATGACTGGAATCTGGATATGAATTTTTAGCCTTAGTGATTTTCAACGCTAACTGTTGGATAGCAAAAGACATTTGCATCCGGTGCATTATAAACAGCTTAAGTAAACGATTGGCTGTCTGGTGTGAAAAAAGTAAAGAGAAATCCTGCAGATTCACCATGGAATCTGATACCACTGAACCTAACCAGGTGAAACAGACTACAGAGCAGTTAGAGTCATCCTGTCTAAGGTTGAATTGCTTATTGATTACAGTAAATGAGCAAAGCCAGTTAATCCATCTTGTTTGGCAGAGAGTGCACAGTTTACTTTCTTGATAGTGGTGAGCTGAGATTAGTGTTTCTAAGCTGGGTATGAACTCCAGTTCATCAGACCTGTTTCTTATTCTGGGATGGGATACAGGTGCACAAGATACCTACAGTGCATTGTTCAGATCAATAAAGTCACTTGATGAAAAAATCAGCTTTGGTTGTGTTACGAGCGCAGCTGGCCCTAATTAACTCCCATTACCCAATTACCACACCACACCCCTTCCTTCACTACTTAAACCCTCTGCTCACCTTCTTCACTGGTCGGTATTACGAATATTTCCGCCACCTGAGCTCTTGTTGCTGACAACCTTCAACATCTTGCGCTCATGGACCTTGCCTATTGAACCACTTTCCATCTTGTATCTTTCGACCATGCTTTCGTCTCGCCCTTCTTGGATTCGTTTTCCTAACTCTCCTCTCTGGACTCGACTACGCCTGGACCTATCAAATACTCTCCTACCTCGCCCTTCTCGGGCTTGTTCACCTCCGACTCCATTAGAGACCTGCACAGGGTTCTTTTTACTCACTATAACAGGTTGTAGATTGAGATTAAGTACCCTTTCATGTACAGATGCAGCCATTCTACAAACCCGTACTGCATGCAACTACCGACGTCATACCGCGGCACGTGATTGGCTGGCTAAAATGACCGACTGGGGCATTCGTGGTGCATTGGTTAGTAGTGAAAAGATTTAATCATTTAATCTCTTTGCTGTGCACACTTTAATCCACTTAGTATTGAATACTTATATGGAATTTTACAATTAAAGGGAAATTTGAATAGCTGAGCATAAAAAGAAGTGGAGTACATCAATTTCCCTACGGGATTAATAAAGTATTATCTATCTATCTATAACGCATCTGAAGGTCATAAACGATAATAATTTAGGAACATAAACATATTATGTAAACTGGACTGTATATGGGTGGTATTGGTAGTTTAAAGAAAAAATACACACCGGTATTCCTTTTCTCCCTAAACATTTTAAGAATCAAAGTCTTACATGTGGTTATTTCAGAAATGTTTTTACGTGCTCCTTCTGATCATATTACTGTACGTTTATATACTTTGTTTGAAAAGTGATAGTTTTAAGCTTTTCTGCAAATACACTCGTTATAGCAATAAACAAAAGCATATTTTTAGAATTTGATCAATAGGGAATATAATATGGAATCACGTATCTAAAGAAATTAATAACAATATAATTATATTCACTGTAGCACAAACAGTAGTATAAGACTTTCTATTGATATGTGTATGGCTGTTTCACCACCATACTGTCAGTGTGTCTGTGGCATGGTAGGTTAATTGAGTGACTTATAAGTGTGAGGTTGGGTGTTCAAATCCAGCATTTACTGTGAGTTTTCTTTTAACAAATAAACATTTCTTTGAAAAACTAAAATAGCAAATATTATTGGCATTATATTGACATTTTTTATATTTCTAAATATCACAACATGTTTGTACTGTATGTACACAGAGGTACTGCAGGGTCTAGGGCGCAAATCTGATGTTGCGCATGCGCCTGGCACTGCGGCCAAGGAGCACCCGGTTCTCTCTCTCTCTCTCGCCTGGAGTGCTGGCTGTGCCGAATTTCACTCCACAAAGTCTGAGTCTCTGTGTCTACATTGTTTTCACGGGTATTTTTCTCACCTTCTTCGTTTTCAAAGGAGAATAGGGCAAGTCTTCCAATGAAAGACAGTCTACCTTCCCCAC